TGTTACCAAATCCCATCTACCCATTCATTTTTTTTACTATTGCAGCATTTATGCAAAGTTTGTTGAGTAAAAGATTATTTTAAAAATAATGTATACCGTTACTCACCATTGGGTACAACGGTTTGGCGTTATAACTGAGTTTGGTTTATATTCTTTTCCTTTGTAGTAACACGAACATTCAGATATTGGGATACAGATATCGTCCTCATTTAATATTGAACCTTTAGGGCAGAAACATCCTGCAGAGCATTCGTCACTACAGTCTGTATTCATTGAAAGATCTCGACATTTCTTGTAACAAGATGAGCCACACTCGCGATAACTTTGATCAGCAATTCCGCAATGAATACCTTGAGACACACAAGATGTATTAATAAAGTGCATATCAATAACTTAGGGCGATTAGAAATGCAGTTAATTACCAAGAATGCGGAACAAAAATGTTATTGTCATAGTTGGGGTACCTCACTGTTACAGTTACTTCAAATAGAATTAAAAACAATGTTTAAATATCCTCTAACTACTATTTTAATCGCTTTAACACTTACTGCATTCAGGCAAAACAGAAGGATTTCTCCATTCAATTTCCACACCATGTCTTGCGCAATCATGCGTATACGAAGCAATGGCAGAACACAAACACTTAGTGCCATCCTGACACCCACACACATCATATGTACAGCTATGGAGGTACCCTTCATCAGGGTTAACCACATGATGACACTTGGTGAATGGATTTCGTTTCAATATGTTACACATTCTTTCCGCTTCACTTGCTCGTTGAACTTGAACAGTGCATGGATGGGGTAGATCTTTAGCAACCGATTTACAACTAGGATCAAGCTTCCAAGATTCACCAAACAATGCAACATCAGTTTCTACATTTTTTTCGCTAGTAGTGAAGTCGTCGTCTTGGTTTTTATTGAAGTTCCCACAAAGACCTTTAGTTTTGCTGCTCCAGTAGTTTTGAACCGTGACATAGACACGGCTAATGCCATCCCATGTTACTTCGACACCGATGTCGGATGTGACACGTGTCATAAGGGACGATGACCTGTCCACGACGATACCTGTAAAATCATAATACACCCAAGGCATTTGTTAATTAAGCCGACTGACCACTGGCGTTTCCCTAGAATTAATTCACACGAAAAGTGCCTTTTATTACCCGACTTGGACCCGGAAAGTTGATAGAGAGGGGCATTTATATTTACATATGGTAGTTTTAGTCTTCCTAGACAATATTTCTCAGCATAACAAAAGTCAAGCTTTAACTTCATAGCTAGTTCACTCCACTACACTCATACTTAGAGACTAATAATTTACTAAGGGTTTACTCTTATGTTTAAGTATTATTTAAAACACGAGCATGAGTGCTTCAGATATAAAGCCGCATGCACGAGGCGACAGCCGAGTGTCCGATAAAGCAAAAACTGCGAGTTTTTAAATGGCTTAAAAAAACGACCCATCTTATGTGTTCATTCGTGAAGTAATTTAAAAAATCAATGTTGTCGAAGACGAGAAAATCAAAGCTAAAGTTCATAAACTAACATGATTTTTCATCCTATATAAAAACACCGACACAGTGGAAATTTCCTTTGTCTTTTCCTCATGAATTATTATTATAAAATAAAATGTATATAACGCGTGCTGTGATTGGTCGAAACCCGTGTTTGGATCAGGCCATCCAAACACGGAAGACTATCGTGTTGTTGTTATTTTATAAAACAATTACTTTATGGTTTCCGTGTCTGGATGGCCTGATCCAAACACTTGGGAATGTTGCTCGAGTTAAGAAAAGCGCGCAAAATAGATAGATAGATAAACTTTATTTAAACACGCTGACCTCGTCAACCGAAGCTGATTTCCACGAGGGGCGTGCGAAAAGTATACAGAAAAGAATTATAAAACTATTTACAAAATTATATAAGATATATAGTATTATATGAACTAACAAACTAAGGTAGTAATCTATATACAGATAATATTAACATCTATGTTAATTAGCTATCAGTCAATGTGAGTAGTGATTTTCTTTCGAAAGGAAGAAAAGGATTTGCTCTCTCTTATTTCTTTAGGAATAGAATTCCAAAGGTGTGCTCCGTCATACACGAAACTTTTTTTCATATTATTAGTACGTGGTTGTGGTAAACAAAGACTACTTGAAATGTTCCGAAGTTTGTAGTTTGTCACCTCACCCTTATATGTGAAGAGATTACTGAGTGATTTCGGTCCCATTTTGTTCAATAATTTGTACATGATTTTTGCTTTACTTTTCTTCCTTTCTGTTTTAAGTGGCTTCCAACCCAATGCTTGCAATGCAACAGAGTGATCTATGTCATTGTTCATATTCAAAATAATCCGAGCAGCTCTGTTTTGTAGTTTTTGGAGTCTTTTTGATTGCGTTTCTCCAAACACATCCCATACTTCACAGCAGTAATCAAAATATGGGCGAACAATAGCATTATATACAGAAAGAAGTGTTTGCTTATCAGCAAATTCTTTTAAATGCCTAAGAGCCGATATTCCAGATGTAATTTTCTTGCAAATATTCTCAGTGTTAGTTTTCCAAGATAAATGCTGGTCAATTGTCACTCCAAGAGTTTTGGATTCATAAACTTGTTTAATTGACTCGTTTTCAATTTTCACGTTTAGTTGCAAATTTGAAATATTTTTTATCATTTGTTTTGAACCAATTAACATAAACTCAGTCTTAGCAACATTTAGACAGTTAACGTTCTTATTCATTGATAGTGTGGACACTCAAGTAATGTCTCTACCGGAGCTCGGTGACTTGAGAAAAGTACGAGTATTGCATGATAATTCTGGCGATGATCCTAGCTGGTTCTTAGATAAGGTAATATACTACTTTCATGTTAAACTAATCTAGGTAAAAAAAGTGAATTCTCGTGGAGAACTCATTAAAATTAGTAAAACTGCAAAATTTGGTTGCGAAATGTTGTAAAGTACGGAAAATATAGTCTTGCGAAGTTTGCCTTCACCTCATTTTAAGTAGTGATATTATTTCAAATCCTCCAATTCGGGCTGGACTAGATTTCAAACTTGATAAAATTGCGTGGACTTGAAATTTAGTCTACTCCTCAAAGTCGGATTTGAAATACTACTGTGATCATTTTTGCATGCAGACTATATGAGACCAGGGGCGAAACTAGCCCCTTTTAATTAGGGGGATGTCTGGCAGAATTGCCCCGCCAAAACCAGTGATGCCCTGCCAAAAAGTACCAAAAAATTTTTTCCGGGAAAATTATTTTGGCGACCTCCCCCCCCCGGCGCCAAAAAAATTTCGGTCTGTGTACCATTTTAGGGGTCAAAAAAATTTTCCGGACAACCTATATTTTTCGGAACATAACACAAATTTTCGAAAAATCACACAATTTGCGAAAAAATTCACTTAATTTTAGATAAAATTGACTGAATTTGTCCCATTTTTTTTTTTTCAAACCAAAATTGCCCGACTGTTGATCGAATATTGCCCCCGCCCGGTACGCCTATGTGCTATCATTTATTTATAAGAGACCTTTGATTGCCCTGCCAATCGGGATGATTCGTATTTTGGGGGGGGTGTAACACCCCCCATACTCCCTCTCAAGTTTCGCCCCTGTATGAGACTTGTTGGAACAGTTTGTTGCGAGTCTTTGGGCTTCGCGAGCCTGGAAATACCTCTGACACGCACAGAGTAGAGTAGGATATTCAACTGATGAAATATAATTTTTTTTGCAGGTGGTAGTCGAGGATGAACATGGGAAAACGTATGAGTTTTCATGTAATCAATGGTTGAGTGAAGGTCAGGGTGGTGGAAAAACGGAAAGATTACTCACTTTAAAGAAGAGAAAACGAAGCCATATCTAGGTGCGTTTACCTTTTGAACCATCGTTCAGTTAATTGCAATTGGATCAAACACTGAAGCGTGAAATACTAAACCCCCTGTCAAACGAGAATGATAGTTGGTCGGAGAGTTGAGAAGCGAGAGTTTGCATGAGAATTTTCTCAACTCTTAAACCTGGTTCACACTAGCAATTTTGTGTTTTTCATGGATGCAAGCACACAAAACTATAGAGTTTCCTGTGAAAAGTAAACAATTTTAAGACTTTTGCCTGTGTTTTAATCCATCACATTTTCCTGGAGGACTCTTCACTTTTGTGTGCGACGCACTCATTTACACCCTTATTTCTTTCTCTTAATTTCCCCAAAGCAAATAACTAATTTCGTTTAAAAAGTGACCGACTATTTTGATATTTTGTCCAAATAATTTTGAACTTAAAAATTTATTAAGAGGTATGTTAACCCCCTTCCCCCAGGGGACCTCAATTGATTTGGTTACCGATGCACCATAAGAAAACTAGCGATGTAAAATAAATATATAAACCACAATGGTTTAGATACCAGTTAAAAAATATGGTAATCATAAACTAATCGAATTCAAAAGAAACTTAAAATAAACTTAAGTTTATCATAAACTGAAAAATGTATAACACATGCTAGAATTATATATAAAATATATTGTTGTATTGAGTCTATGGCTGAGTTTACACTGCTGCGGGATAGCTTTCTGTAGCGACGTGAAACGCCTATCCTCCAGGAACGCAATTTTCAGAGGAATTATTGGAACGGAGAGATGTTGTTTCGCTCAGCTTCTGAAAGTTGTACATTCCTTATCGGATAGGTGCTTTTCGCGCCACTACGGAAAAGGCGGGAAAACTATCAGGTTTAGTGGAAACGAAACCTATATGTATTATAAAACTGCTTATTAATTTAAGTCCTAAAACCCTAAATTAGCTAAACATTCACAAATATATGGAGCGATTTAAACTTATTCATTTATAATGATATAATACAGTAATATTTAATAAAATATTGAATCTGTATTCATTTAATAAATTAAAGATTTTACGTTGCAGTATCAATAAAAGATAAATTAGTTTTAAAATAGTTAATTTGCCTATGGTTATTGATTTTGTTGGCATGTCACTCATTCAGTAATAGTTGAAGGGTCTCGTAAATGAAATCGAGTGGAAATTTATACTCAGGTTAAAATATTTTAGTATTTTTGCACAAGTGAATATAACAAATCCCAACCTCGTACCCAGGGCATTTTGGTTCCCCGGCCACAAATCCTACAAGTTGATTCGTCAAATTTGACGTATTTTAACAACCTCGTCCCCAGGGTCTTCCTCGTGGTGGCGCGTGAGCTGAGGAAGACCTGGTAAAATACGATGAAATCTCCAAGATTCTTGGAGATTTATCGCATGCGCAGTAACGACAACGTTATGTTGCTGACTACAATTAGCGCTGGCGCTTACGATTTTCTTGCTTAAAAATATACATGTATTGTTGAGTGTTTATGTATTTATTCTCAAAGTTTTAACAAATTTTACGAAAAATACTTCAGATATAAGCTGTGAACACACATGTACACAAAACTATGCAACATTCATCATCATATTATTGTATCAATTTGTCGGAGTATGGCGCTCATATTTGTGACATCGTTTTGTGCAACCCTCGTATATATCAGATGCTATTCGGCTTCAAATGCGACTGAATAAACACTGATAGTGTTGCCTGGAATGTGAAATGATATTGATTGATTGTTCTGTATATCAAGGTATGTACTGTACATTTATATTGAATTTATTTTCACACGAGTATCAAACTATTTCAGCTTTATAATGAACAGTGAGATCACATCACTAACATACAGTCATACAGAAAGACTCCATATTTTCTCATCAATTCTGATTATCGTTACAAGTAACAGCAGAAATGCTTCAAAATTTATTCTGATTTCTATGTAAAGCAGGGCAGCATGCTTCCATTTTGCTTTGGTGGTAGTCATCACTCACCAAGTTAAATGGGCCATTCCATTTAATAGCCCCCTATTGAGGTCTGGATATCCTATGGGGGAGAAGGGAGTTTTACCTTAAATTTTTCTAGAGGGTAGCTTAAGAGATTTCCTAAAAATTAGGTGTTTTAGTGATATCCAAAGGGGCAGGAACACTATCCTAAAGGGGTAGAAAGATATCCATGGGGGTTCCAAAAATGTATCCCATGAGGTTCCAAAATTTTTAAGGTATTATAAAGAGACCCCTCTATAGGCTGTGTGTGGAAGGGGCTATATTAGATGGAATGGCCCAGTGTGCTGCAACAACTTTTAAAATTTGTATATATGTTTTTAAGGCACAATATGTAATGGAGTTTTATATGATGATCAGCACAACCTCAAGGTCTTGACTGAATGAACTTATCTGATATACTCCAAGTTCCAATACTTTGCTGTATATTATCACCAGCTCAGATGTCAGTTGGATCACTTTGAATGAACATTGGAGTGGCACAATAAAGTGTCTGTATTAGGGAGGAGTCTATAAGGACTGAAGTAAAAGGCACACTTTTGGATATTTGAATCATAGCAACTACATATACTGTATGTTTCAAATAAGTTTGAACAATGAACAACTGAAAATAGAAATTTATTTAATTTGAAACACTTAAAGGAATTACAACATATTATATGATAGTCATATGTACATGATTATAGGTATATTCATTAGTTTTACTAGCTGATATTTATCACCATCCTGGGACAACATTTTATTTTTCCCAAGAGATTTTACTTGCATGATAGTAATAAGTTTAATAGTAACAGAGAAGTGTGATGGATATGTGCAAGTAATTATCATTAGAAATACAAATAATAAACTGTAATTTTGACCATTGTAAATGTATTATTAAAGAAACCAAATACAAAAGTCAAACAAGGCTATTTAACATAATACAGTCATAATACTAGACTGGTTAAAGAACTACTGAATAGAGGGATCATAAAAATCTTCTAAGATTACTTCCATAGCTCTGTAGCAGGGAAAGGTATAGTGAGTTTCTTCACCTTGATGAACAAAATTATATAGCATTAGAAAACTATAATGCCATCAACTCATTCCCATTTAAAAATTTTCATGTTGGTTACTGTGAAATAATCTTGAGACCATCTTAATAATTTGTGATTGTTTACTATCTGATTCAGTGATGACATGATTATATATATTTACATGGAACCCAAGTTGGTTTTTTCCCAAGTTCATATAAAATATGGTTCACCTGTTAAAATAATAAAATGTTTATTAGTTGTTTTGTAACAGAACAGTACCTGCTTTAAAGAAAATATAGGAAAGAGAAAATCGAAATAACAGTTGTACTGTATATGGAAAACACTTCAAAACAGAATAAAATCTTTCTAAGCATTTCTACTGTTATCATAATTTGATTAACTGATGAGATAATATGAAGTTTTTCTGTATGTTAAAAACTGTGATTTCTGAAGAAGTCTTTCTGTATGTCATGTGAAATGAAGTCTTTCTGTATGTGTGAAACAACTGTGTTTAATAGAAAATGTGATTTCCGAGACTCTGAGAAAATGTGAAAGCAACGTGTGAAAATAAATCGAATAAATTCAGTATAAATGTACAGTACGTACCTTGATATACAGAACAATCAGTCAATATCATTTCATATTCCAGGCAACACTATCAGTTTTTATTCAGTCGCATTTGAAGCCGAACAGCATCTGATATATACGAGGGTTGCCAAAGCGAACAAAACAATGTCACAAATATGAGCGCCATACTCCGACAAATTGATACAATATGATGATGAATGTTGCATAGTTTTTTGTACATGTGTGTTTACAGCTTATATCTGAAGTATTTCTCGTAAAAATTGTTAAAACTTTGAGAATAAATACATAAACAATCAACAAAACATGTATATTTTCAAGCAAGAAAATCGTAAGCGCCAGCGCTAATTGTAGTCAGCAACATAACGTTGTCGTTACTGCGCATGCGATAAATCTCCAAGAATCTTGGAGATTTCATCGTATTTTACCAGGTCTTCCTCAGCTCACGCGCCACCACGAGGAAGACCCTGGGGACGAGGTTGGTATTTTAAAGCTGTTATTTTTTATTCACCTATATATCAAAACCGAAATTTTCAAAAGAATGGGAAATTAGCATACAGGGCGCTTATCATCCTCGTTCCCAGACTTTGCCACTTGTATAGAAACGCCGTGCAATAGGCGTATTATGAGGCCTAGGGACTAGGCTGTATAAGTGCGCATAGGTGCGCTCTGGTCACATGATTTTGTGCGCACTGTTTGCCTGCGAATCGGGCCTTTCAGAACCGGAAATCGGGCTGGAATACGCGTTCATTTGTAGTGAGTTTTGATTTCGGAAAAGTACGACAAATGGCAAAATTCGCACGGTGCTCGTTCAAAAGCAACTCCAACAAGGTCCCCCATTTGCTCACCCCATGGCTGCCTGTGGTCCCCCTTTGCATTTGATTTGATTTGCGTTTTACCCATATCAGTAGTTTATATTCCTTTGTGGCATTGCCTTTGTGGGCCTCGGAATTTGTCGACATGCATCGTAGTGATCCAACCTCGTACCCAGGCTCTTTGCTCTTGGGAAGCAAAGAGCCTGGGTACGAGGTTGCGTAGTGATCCTGGTTTCCGACCAGAGGAGGTTCGACAAGCAGGCCGCAAAGCATCATGGGTTTGAGTGCCTAATTCCAGGCGTGGCTTCAATGACTCTTTGACTGTCGTGGAGTGAACATCTCTCTGAGTAAACAAATATGGAAGCATTCGAAATACAAGATTGTCAGGTCCTCATTATGACTTGTGTTTTACTATACCAAGGTTACCTTATATTAAATTGCATGGGACGTGCTGTCATTTTAGCTTTATAAATAATCCGTCTGTCAAAGCGAAGGAATTGTGTTTATATTCCCAATAGCGAGGCCCTTCTTTCTAAGTTGGATGGCGTTAAATATCTGTGTATCATCAACGTGAAAACAAGCGCAGTATTTAAGGTTAGTATATTACAATGCATTTAATACAGTTGACTTGTTATTTGGTCAAATTTCCGCTTTGCTGCTTTCAATATTGTACTGTAATTTTATAAATACACTGTACAAATTATGGCGTAATATTTCTAATAATTTAACCCTTTAGTTTGGCCCTACTCCTGATGAGTTTGCTAACGAAAACACCCAGCATATGCTTTTGATTTTGGATTTCGATGTGGATCATATATTGACAGCGAATAGAATTGATGATGAACATTCAGATGATGAACATTGGTTCTCAGATGAGTCTGAAGGTATATTGTTATTCAGTTTTTTGTATGGTTTTATAATTTTTTGCTGAGTGTGATGCCTGTTTGTATCTAGTTGTGGGTGGTTCTTTAAATGTGCAAACTGTAATTTAATTTTTTTTTTAATTTTCATCTAAATATTGCTGTTTGTATATTTTTGCTAATTTTAGAGATGACAATGTATCAAATAATAATTTCCTTGTTTGATTTTGTAGAAAGAGATTTACTTGAGTGGTTGGCTGGTCTTGAACCTGTTCAAGATGTATATGATAATGAAAGAGGTGATAGGGCAGAAAGTGATGACAAGTTAAGTGATGAAGATGAAAGTGATGGGGAGGAAGAAATTGCCCACTCTGTACCATTCAAGTGCATCGGTGCTGCTCATGAGAAAAACTACTGACATCATTTGGAAAATTAAGGCATAATACCTTGCTCTTCATAAACAAGATAAAACAGTGAATTCAATGTAAGAATACGGCCAGCACCATTGAATCCAAGGGACCCAAGTGCAATGGTCAATTCCAGCTTTTAGGTTATGCATGCAGGGGGTGATGGGAAGTAAGGTATCATATTGCTGATAATGCTGAAAAATAGAAATGGTGGCCATGTAAACATGGATAGATAGCTATAGTAAATATTGAAATATTTTGGTTGTTTAGGTAGTTTATTAAAATTTTTCAGCATAATCAGCAATATGATACCTTACTTCCCGTCACCCCCTGCATGCATAAATTAAAAGCTGGAATTGCCTATTTGATCGAGACTATGGAACTGTATGGACACATGTTTGCTTCTGAACTATACAAGTATTTGCACCCACTAATTGCTGCAGGAGATGTCGTGGATGTCTATGTTCAGTGTATCAAGTATAGGGTTGACTTTTTTAATTAAAAATAGGATTTTATCCAAAAATTTTCATAAAGACACCTGGGGCCGGTTGTTCAAAGGTGGGTTAGTGCTAACCCTGGGTTAAAATTTAACCTGCTGTTTTAGTTTGTGTACTTCTAGTCTTCTACACATAGATCTGTGTATTTCAAAACTTCAGAGAAGTATACTCCTATTGATCCAGACAAGATCTCTGAAGAAATATTTCCAAATTTATAGAAAAGCTGTCAGGAAGTTTGCTTCGAATTTTAGGTTAACCATGGGTTAAACTAACCCAGCTTTGAACAACCGGCCCCTGGTGAGTGGAGACTCGAGTGGTAGGAAAAAGCATGAGTGTATGTTGACAGATGTTTTTTATATAATAAATAGCAACTACCAAGCTATGTTTAGCAAGTTATTAGTGCATTTATTTCAATTGGCTAACTTTTTTAGTTTTTCCAGCATTTTTTAAACAAACCATAGGTTATGAATGATAACTGGGTATATCTAATTAAACCAATCTGTCATGTACTCATGCAAATAAGACTAAGTACATAAATAACTGTAAAAAATGTACTTTTAATTAGTAAATAAATGAAGATTTATTTAGACCTACTTTGTGAGTATTTTTTTCAGATTAAAATTAATGCAACAATAAAACAAGAAGATGTCTATTTATATAATGTTTCAGTATTAAATTGATCCGAGATCCCACTTCAGCTCAGAAACCACTGCCAGCAGGGAAACCCACAATAACATGCCACTTTAATATAAATTTGTTATATGATACATAAAAACTTATTTTATTGCTTTAAAACAAGTGAAGCTCTCTGCTGGCTTGAAATGGGCTGTTATGACACTGATTTGTCCATGCTGAGGATTCCGCAGCTCGATTTTGCCACAAAAACCCCAGTATCAGGCGATCAGCTCGTCTTGAAATACGTACACGATCCAGTCGCGTCGGCCAAAGACAACAAAACTTTGAAAATCGCACAGATATAAATTCTAAAAAAATATTAAAACAACTCCTAAGTCTTCTAAATAATATTTTAACACTTTAACAAAAATTCATTGAAAATATCATCTTTGATGGCGCATTTTCTTTCCAAGGTATTAGACGCCATTTTAGCGAACGTCGAGTTGACAATAGTCACTTCAACGGTCAATATCTCGAAAACTGCCGGGGGATCACCGGGATCATTCCAGCAGATTTAAAGCTTATACTTTTGTCTTGACGACTACCAAAAATGAAGAAAATCGAACCATGGGAATTCTAGATATTTCATTTTAAACATTGTAAACATATTTAGACTTGAGTCAACACGTCGCGGGGAGTCGACTAACTTCAAACATCAAAATAACATTGAAAATAACATTTACCTCAGAGATTTTTGCAGATATCACCAGATCTTTAGCCGTAGTACTACTACACTTGAAATTTTGCAAGAAAATTTTAATATTAATATTTTTTTCCGATTTATTTTCCGTCGAATGCAAATTTTTCTGTCCAAATTCTGCAGATAACACGATGGAAAATAGAGCGATCTCATTGGTCGAGAGCTCACGTGACAACTCGCTAATTGCTTGTCGTACCTCCTCTGGTTTCCGACGTATTTCCGGAATGTTCCGAATTTCGGGTTTTTTGTATCTCCGCGTGGCAAATATGGCGTAAAAATTCTGCTGGTTTATATTGATCAATCATACCTTTATTCGAAGGTAATATGCTTTATTTTATATCAGTATTTGTAGTAGAATACTTAGATTGCTAATGTAGATGGAATTTTTAGGACATCGGGCTCGAATTAAGTGCGAAATGTTCGGCATAAACTTTGTAGTTTGCACGTGCAGTCGTGCATCGGTTTGGTCGATTGTCGAAATAAAAAACTGTGATCTGTTCTTATTTATAGCACTGACCAATATAAATAAAATTTTTACATATGTTTACAATCGAAGTTCGAACTTTGAAATGAACTTGCGAAACCGCGCTTTGAAAAGTTAAATAAGAAATCAACAAGTAATCGATAATTCGATATATGGTCATATGCACTGGCCAATTGAAACCCGGGAAGGGCGGGGAATAATTAAAGGGGGAATGGCTGTGGATTAATGCAGGTTTAATGCAACATTTCCCCCCAGGTACAGGGTAGATAACAAGTTAATTTATTAGCCGGGACTTTAACGCCAGGGTGAATCTCTCAATTTTTCTGTGGATTAATGCAGGTTTAATGCAACATTTCCCCCCAGGTACAGGGTAGATAACAAGTTAATTTATTAGCCGGGACTTTAACGCCAGGGTGAATCTCTCAATTTTTCTGCGCCGAAGATTTTTCGAATTCATGTAAAGGCGCCAAGAAAATTGTTGCGAAAAAATATGCGGTTTTTGGAAATATCCGAAATTTTCACCTAATTTTCAAAATTTGGCTTTTCATTCTTCTCAAATCATAATTTCAAATATACTGTTACAAATGCTCAATTGCTTCACCAAATCTTTGCCAAATTGCTGCGCCAAATGGATCTTTGGGATCATTCTGCGGCAAATTGTTGTGCCAAATCAATATTTGCGATCAATCTGCGCCAAAAATGTGCGCCAAATTTTGTTCGAGTCGCTGTTCTGTGCCGAAGATCTTTCGGAAATACACCCTCAAATTCACCCTGGCTTTAACGTGTCACAGCTAATGTGAAAGTGGACTAGAACGAGTTTATCCTCGTGGCATTTATAAACTTTTGTTCGTTTTATCATTGTTTCCTCATAGTTGTTGTTTTTTTAAATGATGATTGCATGATAGTTGAAACGTAGATTACTCAGTATCTTTTGATGCGGATCAAAGTTTAAGATCAATTGATACCATTTTATACTTCAACGATTTCTCAAGTCATGAAAATTTGCAAAGTGCCAGGGTCATAGGGGAGGTAACTTTAACCGTCAATATTCCCCCGGTAGCGGGGAAAATTACCAAAATTTATGAAAATTGGGATTCCGGCCAGAACTAACCTCCTGGAACCCCCTAAACATTAGGTCAGAGAAAATAGGGTTGGCTGGAAAAGATATTCTGTTTCAGCCTCTGGTGCTCCGCACATGTTCGTATCGAGTTTTTCACCTCGCTAGCCAAGCTATTCACATCCTCAGCAAAATTCTCATAATTTTTTGTAGATGCACAGTGCAAGTTCCAAGAATGTCACAAGCCCCTGTCTCAAGATCTCATGATTACAAGATCCTGAATAAGAGGTAAATGATTTTTATTCTAATTATTTCTAACCTTCTCCTTGTATTTCTTGGACAATTAGACCACGAGCAGTCCCTCGAAGAAATGAAGGACCCCCGACAACACATCAAGAAACGAAATATGCCCACTTTTCGCTCTTGTCAAATTGGCTCCGCCTTTGCCAAAACATTACTATATCCAATTAAATCTATCCAATAAGAAACCGTTATTGTCATGTTTATTTACAGGGTGTATAAAAAAAGGTAACCAACTTAGCGCGCTATCGTACCTGAATTACTCGGCGTATGAATATTTTTTCATATTCGAAAAGATCAGCCTTTTAGCTGTTGAATGGCATGTTTTTCATGCCAGGTGGAGAAAAAAAAGCAAGTACGAGTTTGATAAAAAATGTTAGTCAGAATCGCATATTACAATGGTGAAAATATGCGATTCTGACTAGCATTTTTTATCAGACTCGTACTTGCTTATTTTTATCCATTTGACATGAAGAACATATCATTCAACAGCTAAAAGCCTGATCTTTTCAAAGATGAAAAAAATCTCGTTCATACGCAGTAATTCAGACACAATAGTACGCTGATGTTCGATTACTTTTATTTTGACACAACCTGTATAAAATCAACATTCACTCTGGAAATTATTTATAGCTTAAGGTGGCTCCCTAGGGTTTTATTTCCGGGGGTTACGTTCTTCGTATATATGTAAACTAAAACTCGTGTGACTAAAAAAAAATGAACGAACGTTGTGTTTTATATGGAACTCTTTTTTGAAACAAAAGTGTAAACTTTGCTTTAGTTGAAAGCCTAAAAAGAGTTCTAAAAGCCTAAAAAGAGTTCTAAAAGCCAAAACGATACTTGGATGTGATGTTTCAAAAGAAGATAATGTAAACTTGTTTTTTTTTCAAGCGGTATTCTGGAAGTTTTTTGAACCGCCGTGCGCGAGGTTTGTCGCGAACATTGGGATATGATATAAAGTTTCCTCAAGAATTTGCAGTGTTTTCTCCACAATCTAGCAGCACTTATGACAATAAAGAGGACTTAAATAATGAGCCCTCTACGGGTGAAATGAGCAGGGCCGAAACTCGAAACATACCACTATAAAAAACTGAAATTTGAACGGGCATTTTGCGAAAACATCCGACGATATATATCGCACGGGACGAATTTTGACAAACATTTTTCAAATTAATACCAAGAAGTCATAACCAGTAATTACCTAAATGTCTTTGCCAATTCTACATGTATAATCCACGCTTAGTTGACCATTAACCGACACAGTTATAAACAGTTTTTTCAATTTCAAAATATAATTTATATTTTGTGATTTCAAAAAAGTCATGCCTTGTTGTTTTATGCAGAATGCATGTACACGTCAGTTGGGGTATTAAATTGTTCGCGTAAAAATCTACTAAAAATTGCCAAAATCAAACCCAAATTTCTCTGTTTTCCTTCGGTAAAAATTTTTAAAACTTTGTACATTTTTTAATATCGGCACAACAAGTGTAATATCCTTTTTTCTTAAAATTAAATCGAAGGGAACATTTTTAATATTGATTTTTGACGTTTTTTAAATTTTCTAAGAAACGTATCGATTTAATTTTTTTAAATTGAAGGGAAAAAATCATTATACAAGTATTATCCTTTATGCAAAGTTTTAAAAAATTTCACCGAAGGGAATTTCTAAAATGACCTGAAAAAGACAAATTTTGAGCTTTATTCTAAGCATGCTGTTGCCATGACAACATATTGTTAACACAAAAGTAGCAATTTGCAATGTTCAGGAGAACATTGTCAATGTGTCCAATGAATTTCGTTTTACGGTGGCCGATAAGGGCCACCTCTGCTGCATGGAAACGCGACTGTGCTGCATGGAAACGCGACTGTGCTGCATGGAAGCACGATTGTGCTGCAAGGAAACGCGACTGTGCTGCAAGGAAATGCGACTGTGCTGCAAGGAAATGCGATTGTGCTGCATGAAAACACGATTGTTCTGCATGGAAACACGACTGTGCTGCATGGAAACACGACTGTGCTGCATGAAAACACGATTATGCTGCATGGAAACACGACTGTGCTGCAAGGAAATGCGATTGTGCTGCATGGAAACACGTCTGTGCTGCATGGAAACACGACTGTGCTGCAAGGAAATGCGATTGTGCTGCACAGAAATGCACCTGTGCTGCATGGAAATTGACGATCAACCTCGTACCAAGGGTCCCCGTGTTTAAAGGTTCTGGTGCACGAGTTGGGACCTTTAAACACGGGGCCCCCTGGGTACGAAGTTGATTGACGATGTCAGTACAAACACAGGTGGCCCAATATCGCAAGC